GTGGGGGGGGGGAGAATAAAGGGAGCCTATTGCTTTAAGGAAGACAATTGATAATATTTGTTGACAATGATAGATTTGAGCTTTTAAGGAAAATTAAAATTTTGAAAAACTTGCACCCACCATTGTGTGCTTGACAACAACCTAACACTTAAAAGATGTTTCTTATGAGATCAGTGGTATATTAATAAGTGTGCTGTATTGATTTTTATAACAGAATGTGTCAACATATGGAAGAGTTGCATGAGTTAGTGAACCAATATTTTCTAAAAGCATGATGTTATAAATCATGTATGGGTAAATGTCCATTTAAAGTTCAAGATAGACCGACAGATTCCAATGTAACAGAACATGATGAGTTTATTGATGTGTAACTAACTTCTATGAAGCTGATATTTGTTGACTTTTAGAAGAGTATTAAAGAACACCTACAATTATACGATATGCCTATTAAAATATTTCTTCCTTTTCAACTACCTATATGTATGAGGCCAGATTTCCTTCATATATTTAAATAAAAGCAACATATCACAACAGATTGAATCCAAAGCAGATATGAGAATCTATGTTCCATTGAATTAGACATTAGATGTGCAAAAATGTAAAACAATGTCAATCTGCTCACCATTTCTTATCGTTTTGAAAAATATAGTTTTATGAAAGGTGTTATTTATGTTAATATATAATGGTTTTATTTTTAATGAATAATTTTTTTCATTCTCAAGTTTAATATGATAAATATTAAGGAAAGCTTTTTTGCTTTCTCAATACTTTTTAAGAACATAAGGGATCCTAAGACTGAAGAGTTTGTGGACTGTTTATGTGTATTGTCTCTGAGTCCCCAATAGTTCTCTTTTTAGAGGTGTAACAATTGATACAGTTAATTTTCCAATGGAGTGTTTTGTTTTGTTTTAATTTGAAACAGGGAAATATTATGTTAAAAACTCCAAGGAATTTGGGAACCGCCAGTTGGGAAATTTTCTCCTAGAAAAACCTCTATGGCAATGTCCAAAAAAGCTATTACCTGCCTAAGACCTGAGGGAAGCCAAGAAAATTCTCAAGGAACTTTTTCAACATTTATAATAAAAAGCAAGCTTTAAGGTTCATTCGTTGATCCTTTTTAAAAATATATTTCTATTGATTTCAGAGAAGAAGGGAGAGGGAAAGAGAGGAACATCAATGATGAGAGAATCATTGATCAGCTGCCTTCCTCTTACCCCCTACTGGAGATCGAGCCCACAACCTGGGCATATGTCCTGACCAGGAATCAAACTGGTGACCTCTTGGTTCCTGAGTTGATGCTCAACCACTGAGCCACACCTAACTGGGCTATTGATTCTTTGATGTTCATAAATGAAATGTGTTGTAGTAATGAAATGACCTCAAAAATCCTCATAATCCTATATAATAAAAGCCTAATATGCAAATTGACCAGTTGCTATGATGTGCACTGACCACCAGGGACAGATGCTCAATGCAGGAGCTTCCCCCTGGTGGTCAGTGCGTTCCCACAGGGGGAGCTCCATTCAGCCAGAAGCCGGGCTCATGACTGGTGAGCACAGCCGTGGTGGCAAGAGCCTCTCCCGCCTCCACGGCAGCATTAAGGATGTCTGACTGCTGGTTTAGGCCCACTCCCTGCAGGCCTAAGCCATCAGTCGGACATTATCTGAGGCCTCCCAGAGTGCGAGAGGGTGTAGGCTGGGCTGAGGCCCCGCCCCCCCCCCCAAAATGAGTGCATGAATTTCGTGCACTGGGCCTCTAGCTAATCATAAGATTACTGGTTTACTCTTCCTTTCTGGTCTGCTTTTTATGTTTTAATTTTGTAACAATGTCAATAAGATCTTGCATAGCTCAAGTTTGCTGTTTGCTAAAATTTTCTAAAATTGTCAGCAAAGTTTTGGTTGTAAATGTTTTAAAAATAAAACAAAAATTTATTTAAAAATAAAATTCAGGAGGAGTAATGGCCATCTTTCATTTTTGCCTGTCCAGAATCCATTTACCCTTTTTCTGGAATAGCATTCGAATTTCCTTTGGAGAACAATACCACTAGTATTCTTAGCTCTTATGGTTCCACATTAGGAGCTGCCCCCAACACTAGCTCCAGAAGTGGCCCTGTGACTGAGATTTGTGCAATCATTCCATCTCCTTGGCCTCACTGATTGGTTCAGGAATGGACATGTGACCCAAGTCAGTCAATGAGAACTGCCTTCATACTTTTTCTGGAGCTTTTCATGAGAGCTACTAAATTCATATCTTATTAGCTGAATGACAATGGACAAATTGCTGGATTTCTTTAAGGTTCAGTTTGCTCACAGATAAAATGGGAGAAGTAATGGTTACCTACTTCATGAAATTATTGTAAAAATTAAATAAGATAATAAGTGTAAAGATGTTACCTCATGTAATAAGTGACCACCATGTAATAAGGTCTCAAGAAATGTTTGCTGTTTTTATTATTTAAAGGCCCCTTTGATCTTTCAGCTCCTCTGCTTATAATATAATGGAGTCTACACTGCTTTCTCTCAGCTGACACAGGCAACCTCATCGACAGTCTCGCCCCTGCCACACAACATTTCACCCTCCCTCCTCTACTAAGCTGTGTGTTCTGTGAGGACAGGCATCCTGTCTATCTCGTTCCTTCCCATGAGTGACATGAAAACTGATACCTGAGGACTTGAAGTATTTATTGAATGAATTATTTTAAACTGTAGTTTAAAGACAAAAGCCATTGTAAAAGAAGATAAATTATTTGTACATTTCTTAGTAATATAAAGAAATTTCCCTCATTTCTTCACCTTTCCTATGTTTCCAATAAAAAGACAAAAATACATTCACCAGCCTTCAATTGAATTTAACAACAAAATCAGGGAGGGGAAATTGCAGTGCCTGTTATGGACAGTAGATGGCAGTGCAAATATTAATTGATAGGTAGTCTGGTCAGTCCACAGAGCTTCCCAGAACTAGTCTCTGTAACAGGCCAGCATAAGTCAGAAAAACCCTCCTTTTTTTGGTAATGTCTTCAATGGCTTTTCACAGAAAAAGAAAGGGCATTCTTTGTGACTATAAGACCTTTCCAAAGAAAGCCAACTTCTGCCAACTGGGAGCAATGTCAGGGTGAACTCCTCTGAGAGAGGGCAGAGGGTGGGGCCATGTTCCCTGCAGTGGAGGACTGGAGGAGCTGGCAGACAGTCAAAACTCATGCCAACGTGTTGTCATGTTTTCAAACAGGACTGAGATTGAGAGCCTAGTAAGGTGAAGGCACCTTCCGCATTATCTAAATTTGTATGCTTGGTTAATTATTTTTCCCCAGTAGAATCAGAGAATAGTTGAAAATTCAGAATTTCTCTAATACAAATGAAATTAGTGTCAAGTTGTATTTTTTCCAGTAGTTTTCAGGGTATCTGTGTAATATACAATGTCATGATTTAGGCATATGTTTAGTAGAAATCAAATTTAAAGGAATATATATATATGTGTGTATATATATATATATATATATATATATATATATATATATACATATATTGTATACATACTGTAGTATATAATAATTTAACTGACTTTGCAAATCCAATCATATAAGACCTTAATCTAAAACCTATAAGTAGTTTCATATGTATATGCACGCAAACACACACACACACACACACACACACACACACACCCATCAGTTACTATCACCCAATTCCTTGACTCCAGACATCTCCCATTATGTTGGCCATTTTGCTAATAACATAAAGTGGGATAAGAATATACATGGTTTAGAGAAAAGCCTACAACTACTGGACCACCGAGTTCAACCCTATCTCAGTGAATTAGGGGCAACAATGGCTCTGGAGGTGAGATTAAGTGCTTCCATGGGCAGGTAGGCATAAGCTCCTGAGGGCAGAGGTTATCTGTCATCCCCTCATCTGTTCAATCGGGTATCTTCACAGGTTTGCTGAATGAGTAATCAACTGAACCAAAGAACAGCAAGCATCTACAATATTGCTATGTTTTAGGAAAAAAACACCACATGTGTAACATGCTTGCTCAGGTGCTTGAAATGGACTTTTAGATCTATCAGATAATCAGTCAAAAACATCTCTTAGGTACAGAAACAGAGAAATTTCATGACTATAGAGTAGAGAAACACTTCTTTGGATTTATAAGGAAGGTTATGTGGGACAGCATGTATCTTCATAATTCTGTTTCCCTGGGTTTAAGATGGTAATATATTAACTGACTATTATAAATCTGGTTCCTGAATTTAAAATCCCAGGAGTTCAAAGTAGAGTTAAAATATGGGTAGAGAGCTGTGCTATGGATCAGAAACCCCAAGTCCATTTCTTGTCCATTTCTAGTCCATTTATTTGGCTACTACTTTTACCAATGAGTTTGGATAATTTACTGGATTCTTTGGAGCTGAGTTTTGGTGACCTAAATAATCAGTTCATAACACCAGCCCACAGATATACAGATTTTTGTGAAGATAAAATGAGATAGCACTTATAAAAGTATTTTAAAAGTGAACAGATGGCATCTAAATATAAGACATTATTTTAAACTAGTAACCCAGCGCGCAAAATCACGTGAGACCCAGACCTGTGGAAAATTGGGCGAGACCCAGGACCCCCAAGTCCCAGCACGCTGCAGGACCCAGAGTCAAGTCCCCGTCCACCCGCACACGCTTCACTGCACATGCAGCCCCATCCACTCGCACGTGCCTCACCACACACGCAGTCTCCTGGTGACTGGTCTTTGGTCGTTATGGCATTACAACCACTGGGTTTTTATTATATAGATGGGTCATAGATGAATTATAAAGGTGAAACATTTAAATTCCATAATTCAGATTAAATGTCATTTGCCATCATCTTAGAGCAAATTTTGTAATTATATCAGGTTCTGTTTTCCTTAAATGTGTGCATTTAACTGTTAACTTCAACACAGTGGACCTTAGTGCCATCAGAAAACAGTGTGATTCTCCTCTTCCCCAAAGCGGCCATCGGTGACCTCTGAAAATGGTTCACTATTCACTAGACCCAGAAAACCCCACAAAATCATGCAAATCAAGAAGCTCAAATCTCCACATTCACTTTAAGAACACTCGTAAAACTGCCCAGGCCATTAAGGGTATGCATATTCGAAAAGCCACCAAGTATCTGAAGGACATCACTTTAAAGAAGCAGTGTGTGCCATTCTGTCGTTCCAATGGTAGAGCTGGCAGGTGCGCCCAGGCAAAACAGTGGGGCTGGACACAGGGTCAGTGGCCCAAAAAGAGTGCTGAATGTTTGCTGCACGTGCTTAAAAATGCTGAGGGCAATGCTGAACTTAAGGGTTTAGATGTAGACTCTCTGGTCATTGAGCACATTCAGGTGCTCAAAGCTCCCAAGATGTGGTGTAGAGCCTACAGAGCTCATGGGTGGATTAACCCATACATGAGCTCTCCCTGCCACATTGAGATGATCCTTACTGAAAAGGAGCAGATTGTTCCTTAACCAGAGAGGAGGTTGCACAGAAGAAAAAGATACCTCAAAAGAAACTGAAGAAACAAAAACTTATGGCCCGGGAATAAATTCAGCATAAAATAAATCTAAATAAAAGTAAAAAACAAACAAACAAAAAACCAAAAAACAATGTAATTCTTATCTCCCCACAAACCAGTTCCAAAGTCTCTGTAAAATCTGGTATCTAGCCTTTGAGCACCCACGTTCCCAAGCTACAGGCTAGAGATGAGAGTTCAGTTAAGGACAGCAAAACGTTTTGATCACTTCCTCTGCAAGTTCTGCTTCTGTGGTTTTGCCTTTTGCTTAGGAATGGGGGAGTAATTACCTTCTATTATTTTGTAACTGACTTTTATAAACAAACGCTTTTGTTATTTATATTGGTTAACTCACTCCAAGACCTCCTTATCTGGTTTGTTTCTCAAAGCCCGACCACCAGTATTAGGAGAAACATCAATAAAACAATTTCTCTGGGAAGACAAATTCTAGCAGACAGAGGGCAGTTTTCCACAGAGAAATGAAAGTGGGGCTACTGGGGACCCGACTCACATTGCTCACCAAAAATTCTCCAAGTGAGAATTCTGCCACATGTTTACTCCTACAATGCAGAAAGGGAGCGTTAAGCTCTGGAGTGTGAAAATAGTGAGCAAAGCCTAGCAACAGGGCGTGGCCAATGTTCCCAGAGGAAATAACAAGCTCCCAGTTAGGCCTGGGAAGGAGAGCAGATGTGAGAACTGCCTGCTGATTCCTGAGCCCACTGTGCTGAATGACAGCCTTGCGGGCCATAAATGACACTCAAGTCCACAGCTGCCTGGGGCCAGAGGAAGCAAATTATTCAATTCAATGCTTTTTTAAAAATTGAGCTATATTTAAAAATTGTGAGACTTCACAGAATGGAACTTCAATCTGGGAGTGTTGAGCGTTTCTCATGGTGAGCATCAGCTGCACTAAGTAGCTTCTGTCCCCTAGAGGGCGCTGTGCCTTCCAGGTCACCTGCACGTCTATCACTCTGTCCTGATGTTGTCAGTTTCCAATAAAATGTCCTTGCAATACAGAAATATGTCTCCACGCCTATGCTTCTAACAGATGTGGACATATATCACTTAGGCCAAAATGACTTCAAGTTTTAAGAAAAGTTGCAAAAATCACTTTCTTTGTGAGAGCAAAGGGCATTCCTAGGTATGTAATGTACAAGCTCAACCTGTCTGCTGTGAAGGAGGCACTCTCCTGAGGCACTTGTTCATATTACCTGCCTGTCCTCCAGGCGCCTCAGTTCTCAGCCCGTTGGGACCTTCTTCTCAGAACAGCAGAAACACACAAGGTTGCACACACAGAGGCGGAGGTCTTTTTTAGATTGTTCCACATAGGATTAAGCCAAGGCCTTCTGCGTTAACTTCCAGAAATGATTCTTCAGTCCAGCTGGACAGGCAGGACCAAGTCAGGAGAGATCTATCTCAGCTTTTGTTCGCCTCCCTCATCCTATATGGAAAGTTCCCTCTATATATTTCTACTCAGTTAATAATCATGACTTTTTCAAAGTCCTGATATAATCTTGGTTTAAGATTCAAGTCCTCCATTTCTTTCAAGTCCAAACTAATTTTGTTATTTGAATGATGATACAGTACATCCATAGTCAACAGTAGAGATAATACAGTATATAATAATGATGAAAATAACATTTAATTATAATCTAATTTTCATTCTATAGTTTTGTTTCATAAAGAAGCATAGTAAGGTCTTTGAGTGACAGAGACCAGGTTTCATATAGATTATGATATGTGTGTGTGTGTGTGTGTGTGTCCCTCAAAACCATTACAGAGCTAGATATAAGCTGCCTGGAAACTATTTGTTGAGTGACCCAATGGTTGAATTCTGAATTTTTGTCAATACCATACTTACTTGTATAATTTTCACTTTCCCCCATTATTTTCATGAGCATTTGGGCCCCCAGTCCACCATTGCCTTCAAGAATCACCCTTCAGGGAATCCCTCACTTACTAACTAACTACAGTGACTTTAATAATGTGCCACAGCAACCAGTGGCAATGTTAATTAGAATTGAGATCTGACACACTCATTTGTTTTACTTCAGCAATTCCTCCATTCCTCAAAAGAGCTGTTATGAACATCATTATCAAGTGGCTAAACCACTTTTGGTAAAGCAATAGTCTGTGACTGAGAGCAGTTTGTGTGTGTGTGTGTGTGTGTGTGTGTGTGTGAGAGAGAGAGAGAGAGAGAGAGAGAGAGAGAGAGAGAGAGAGCGCGCGAGGGGGGGGGGATGAAATGCAAGTGTCAGAAGCAAAGTTGACAGACAGGTGGGGATTTATAGGTAGAATAGGTGGAATCTCCTTGCCCTCCAGTATAAGGTATGGAGTGGAGTTCCTCTGTTGTTTTGGCAGGAGGGCTGTCTGTTACAGAGCCAGTGTATTTCACTAGGAGACTAGTAGTTCAGTGGCCCAGTGGCAAGGAGACAATAATGACCAGGAAGTGTGAAGAGAAGAAGGAGGAAGAGTAAATGACTCTTTCCCTTCTGTTCCAAAAGAGCCCCCGGAAGCAAAGAATTCCATATTCATGTAATTGTTTGTTCTAGACAAAGACCCTCTGATGAGCACTCTTCAAGTACATTTTAAGTAATATCCAAGGTATGTGAACTTCAGATATTTTATTTTATACATTTTTGCTAGTGGAACTATGGCATTTTTTAGAATAGTATTGGCACATATTCGTTTTTTTTTCTTTTCAGAGAAACAAAAGCTGCAAAACATAAACATTTTTCATTTTCTCCTTTTCCCCCTCAAAACTGGTATAAGGGTAGACTCGATAGATATAAATGTGATGCTATATTTGGGAGCCATTGACTTGTTCTTAAAGTTCAAGTAAGTAATAAAGTAAGTGTGATGCACACTTACTTTTGAGTGGTCATGTCAATGGTTTCACTTTCACGTAAGAAACCCTGACTTGCACTGACATTATGTAAATGACTATACTTTTGCCCCTACTTTTCATATTTCTTTGAATGTGGATTAAAAAACGTCTTTATCAAAAATACAACAAAAATATGCCCTTCCTTCCCCTTTGTTTACCACCTTCATAATCTCAGGTGGAGAATGTGAGGGACTCCAGAAATTTATGTCATTTCTTCTGATCATGAGATGATTTACTGCTCTACAAACAGAGCTGAAAAGACTCAGGAGAGATTTAAAGGCCATAAAGCCAAAAAAATGCTTCTGGAGTTTCCAGTGGGAGAAAGTCAAAGTTCATTATAAATTCTGTTTACTGTCTGAATTTCTTGAAAGATTCATGTCACAGTGTCACAGACCTATTACCCATTTTTATGCAACTTACTAAGTGTTCAGTAAAAGTGAATTGGGGACCGTATTCATTGTTTCATTTCCATTTATTACACAAGTTCTTCATCCTTTGCTCACACATTAAAGTGTTTGGATTCCCCAGGTCTAATCTCAGTTCCCTTCACCTCTGTTTCCTGTTCTCCTAGTTTAGAATCAGCTAGTCTTATGGTGTTAACCATTCCAAATGTCTCTAGTCTCAATCTCTAATTCCACTTAATCTCTTCAGCTCCAGATGTGTAATTCCAACTGTCTGCTCTCTTCTCAATCAGATGTCCCAGAGCACTTCCAACTTAACATAGTCAAAATAGAAGTGCTGGCTTTCCCATCTAAACCCTGCTCAGCATCTCATATTAACCACCTCTGTCTCAGCACGTGGCCTCCCAGTCACCCATGCTTGGAGCTGTGAAGTCATCATTGGATCCATCATCATGGAAACGGAATTACATTATACCTATCTTAAAAATATTTAAATGAATACAAAATTCCACCAAATAATGTTCAAAACCTAACCATGATGTGGCAGGTACTGTCCATTGCTTACGCAATGTAATCTCCCCTTACCCTTGCAAATAGTCTGTGGATTTCGTTTCTAGGTATCAGGCAGAGGACCCTTGCTTTAAGGGAAAAAAGGGCCTTTTCTAAGCCCATGGAAATACCATTTCCTTTCACAAAGTGATTGGTCCAGAGAACATATTTCCCAGTTCTGACCAACAAAATGAAAGGGGCATGATGCCCAGAACTGTCATAGCCAGTTTGTGGTTATGAAAAAAAATCATCAAGGGCATCAGAACATGAGAGTTAGTAAGATAGAAAGTTCCTAGGTCCTCAATGACTCTCTGAATAGAGGCAAACACTTGAAGCTCCTTGCCTCCAGATTGGGTGCTACAGAAGTTAACAAAGATCATTATTACTTAAGCCACTGCTAATTGGTACTTTGTGGTTAAAAGCATTTCCAATATACAAGGCCCTTCAGGATTCTTACTCTCTGGTCCCAACCTACTTTACAGTTTCTTTAGTCAACCTTCCTCAACCTTTCACACCAAACACACATTCCATCCGTTGCATTTAAGGTTTTCATGCAGAAGGCAGACTTCTTTCTTCTGTCATCTTGTAAGCAGCTCTTGATATTTCAAGCTCTAGCTCAAATGTAGCATCCTTAAGCAATTATTAGTTAATCTGCCAAAAGCCGATTGTTCTTGCCAAAATCATACCTGCCATGAAAAATTAACTTCTTATCTGTTTTGCATGTTATTTGTATATAATACATTATATTGCAACGATCCATCTGTCTGTCTTTCACTTGAATTTGAGCACCTAAATGTGAGATGTCCTACTTATCATTGCCAGCTCAGATCTTACAACAATGGTGGTTACATAATATACACTCAGGTAATGCTTTGGTTTTTATAAAATATATCGTTGGTCACAATAACAGATATTGTGCATGTTTTTTGGTTAGAACTTGTACAAATTTATATAATTTAGAAATGCTAATAAGAAACCTAAAACTAATCATAATTCCCAATTAAAGTATGATATTAACCTTCTTTAGGAGTGGCCTTTTTCCCTACAAAATACTATTTGTTCTCTACTTTTCTTTTTCTTCTTAACAAAATGCACAAATATATTTTTCTCATACACCTATCTATTT